TCTAGCCACCGGAGTTTGCTTACGATGGGTACTGTCCAACGCACAAGCGGCAGATAGTCTCATGAAAATCATGGACGCCACCTCGTTGAGAGAGATCTTGCAAGTAGGTCGATACCAATTGAAGGACGAAGATGGATTCTTGAAGAATCGATCGGATAATCGCTCCAGACTCCAATGGATCAGAAGCCATGAAACCCCTGTCCTCAGACACTCTTGTTTGGCTTCATCCTGGCCCTCTATGGAACGATCACCGTGTTTGTATCCTTCGGCTTGGAAGGTTCGCAAGTGCAGGGAGCCAATGCTAGCATTGCCATAAACACTTGAAAGGAATTTCTTGAGGGCGGATTGTGTTTTCAATCCTATGCCGAAGCAGATTCGCTTGTCACATGTTCACCATGAACGGTCCGACACCGCGGCCCTTTCTGCCACACGAGCGAGGAGGGCGGGTGAGGTTCTAGGCTTGAGCCATCGGTGGAGCAGGGGGCCTTGGGAAGGCCTTAGTTGGTTAGATAGTGGATGAGCTCAGGGAGCGTGAACGTGGAAGTGGTGTGATAGAAAAAGCGCGACAGGGTCTGCTGGGTGGAATTCACTTTCTTTGCTTGTGGTTGGTCGTTGCCTGTTCGCTTGTCTTCCTACCAGTTTCGAGCCCTGAGAATTGAAAGGCTACCTTGTGCACGGTGTATCAGGTAGCCGACGCCGCCAGCGCTTCAGGTGGCTCAGACGATGCAAGCGCGACCACGGCGACGGCGAAGACTGTTTTGCGCTTTGCAGTTGACGATTGACGATTGAGAATGCCGAGAGACGCCCGGAAATTGTGCGCGCGGAGGGTAATGAGACTGAGACACTGGTGGTTGCGAGGGAGAAGATGGGCGCCGAGTTCATCGTCGAGAGGGCTTTGCGTTGTCCAATGTGTTTGAACTTCTTGTAGCGTCGGACATGAAGTTGACGCGGGTTGATCTGCCAGAGTTTGAACTTTCGACGCATTTCGTTGGTGACAGATGCGCAGATCAGGAAGATCGAGGAGAAGCAGAGGCCGCAGCAATGCGGCAGAGGGCAGGCGAGTTTCCTTCGATGGGCTCGCGAAGAGCCTGGTGCCAGTCCGGAGATCCGCGAGAAGCTTGGAGGAGGAGCAGATCGTGAAGAAGCCAGGCCACATCGATGGTGGCAGATGGAGTTGATGAAGATGAAGAGGAAGCGGAGATGTGTGAACATGAGGTTTAGGCGCCGTTCGATGAAGAGATTGAGGAGATTGTCAGAGGAACGCGCGGAAAATGTTGAAGTTGAAGTAAGGCTAAAGGGCGTCAGAGCAAGCGGCAGCCTGAAGTCACAGATGACACTTTACTTCAAGATCTCTTCAACATTTTGAAGATACAGGTGACGAGCGAGGAGAAAGTGAGCATGTTGAGGCAAGCCCAACAAAGAAGCAGGGCTGAAGTCTACAAATGCGCCACGCAAGGCCTTGCAGACTTCGCCAGACACCCTTTGAGGCCACGAGTGGTACAGAAGGCTTAGGAGGCGCTGAGCCACCAGGCAGCATCAACACAGTCGATGTGGTAGCTTCTTGAGGTTGTCCGCGGACCGTCCGCCAGACTTGAACCCAGGGATGAAGGTGCAAAAGCGGAGGTTGAAAGGCATGTGAATATTGGGGCGCCCTTTGACAGCCAGAAGAGGAACAAAGCTGGTGACCAAACATATTTGCTCCTCGGTTCTTAGAACTTGCCAAGCCAGAGGTTCGAGGATGCTGACATGCCGGGACAAACAGAAGGAGCAGCGCCACTTCCAATAGCAGAGGTGTGTGACATGGTTGGGCGGTGAAGGTGAGGCGATAGCAAAGCTGGTCCCACCTCCTCAAGCTTCACTAGATCTCAGTTGAGGAGGGGTATTCTCGGTGAACTTAAGATTGAACTTTTTGAAGAGAACAATCTCAGTGAAGTCAAGCCAAACTGAGATTGCCGCCCACAACAAGTACATGGAGGGCCTGATCGAGATGCTGGCCTGGTATGGGCAACAAACGCGCTGACGCTGGATGCGGATCCACGCTGGATTCACTTGGTGACGCCCAGTCAGACCCCGTCAAATTCCTTTAGAGGAAGAGCGCGAGGAATGACTGCAGTGCTTGCGTTTGAGCAGGATGAAAAATGTTGAATAGAAAAGTGGTTGGTTGATCGGGCAGCAGCAAGAGCGGAAGCTTTACCTCGTTCGGTTGCTTGTGCATTCGTGCTCCCCCGCGCAGAAGCGCAAGCGCATCACTTTGTCAAGCGCAGAGTTGGAGTATGTTGCATTGGTCTCCAGCGCTTCAGATGGGTTCTTTGGTTGCAACGGAGGCAGGGCAAAGGTCTAGGGCTGAGAAGGATCGCTGCAATGACGAACCCTTTTGCTATGTACCTCATAGGCTCCGATGATCAAGGTTGCCCATCAAGCCCGATGACAGCGAAACTTAAGGTTGACTTTTCGGCGCGTTGCTGGCAAATTGTAGTAGCCTTGGGCCAGGCCGCGGAACCAACCCTATAGCAGACGCAGTAGCAGAGAGTTTCGTTTGGAACAAGTCATCACGATCCTGGCGTGATTGCCTTGTTCATGCTGGTTGGAGTTGGTTTCGCTGAGCATGATTTGGGAGATGGACGAGCAGTTGGCGCGATTCCAAAATTCATGGGGCAGCTTGCGTAGCCGTAGCCACCTGGAAAGGAGCAGAAAAGAGGCAAGGCAACAGAGGTGGTGGGATTAAAGCAGGTAGAGGAGGAGTGCGCCACTAGAAAATGATCCAGGGCAATCAGATGTAAGACGAGATTTGCCAAGGAGGATGGGTAACCTGGGCAGGACTTGGGGTTGCCGTTCAATCAGTTGGTGACTGCGACGCTATCACAATTATCAGGGCATGATGACAAAGGAGGTGACCCTCAGGCTTGAACGAGAAGAAGAGAACGAGGAGCAGCGCGCAGGAGAGGAGCCAAGAGGTTCAGCGCGAAAAATAGGAGAGGTGTGTGGGCCTGATGCGGGTCAAGCGCTAGAAATGCATTTCTTCAGAAATGTGACGTCCAGCCGTTAACGGCCCACGATGGCTGCAGGTTTGGGCTCCTTGCAGAAGGCAGAGGCGTAAGTCTATCTTCAAGAAAGAACCAGCAGTTGAGAGAGATGAAGAGAGAAACGTTACAGCGTTGACGCTTTCGCGGGCTGTTTCACTCGTGCGCAAAGAGGCGGACCACTAGCAAGGAAGAGCATCATCATTTACATCTGCTTGAAGGGGCAATGCATCTTCCATGTGAAAGCAGAGCGTGAAGACCAGAATTGCCCATTGGAAGAGTCACCTTGGCCAGATGGATGGCTGAGTCGGCTTTGATCGCGCACTTACAAGTGATGCGACAAGCCCAAGTGAAGAGGAGCGTGGCGAAGAAAGTGAGGCAGAAGGCTAGCAAAGGAAGGAGCAAGTCGAAGATCGATGATGATAATGGCAAAGGATGCAAAGGAAAGAAAGAAGACAAAGTGAGGCAGCAGGACCGTATGCCGCAAAAAAGGCCAAGGCAATGTGAAGGCAAAAGCATCGACGTCAAGATTTCCCGTATAAAATGGGCGACCTCAAGGCCCGTACAACAGCGTTTTTTTTTTGGACGTTTAGGCCAGCCATTTTGTAAGAGCCCTAAAAATGACGTTTAGGCCCCTCTAACTTTGTGAGAAATTCGTGGTGGTATCAACGTAGCCAACCATTTTAAAACAGATACATTTCGTGACATTTCGTTGGAAATCCGGTCATTTTGTAAGGCTTTCGAGGCCTTCGAAAAACCATTCTATATAAACTATTGTTTTGCTTTCATGATCTATCATGATCAGGTATATTGTAATCAACCTTGAGCAGCCGCTAGATTTGATGGATATTTTTCAGACTTGGCTCATGTATTGGGCAATCGCCCACTGGTTGCCCCCAATAGAAAACGGTGAGATCAGGGAACTCTAGGATGTTGTGGCCACGAGGACTGGAACCGGTCTCCCCGTTAAGGGACACTGTGAATATCTTGGAGCCGGCTCCCGGTCGCATCTTGGGCGCCTGTGTCTCCCGAAAAAGAGCGTAGAAAAAGTAGCTAGTTAATGTTTAATTGTTAGTTGTTTGGCTGGTCTAATTCCTTCATGTCCTATCCTCCATTGATGTTTGGAGTCTGTTTGAACATAAAGGGTTCCCCTCACACACACAAATACTTCCAGAAAAGTTGTCCAATTTGCGAAGGCGAGAAATGGAGCGTGGGCAGTCCGTTCAGTCCTGTTTGTTCTGTTGTTCATTTCGTTCGTTGCTTATTTTGCTAGTGGTGCTGAGTAAGTACCAAAAATTCCAACCGCATCTCTTGTTCACGTATCTAGTGGTGCTGAGTCAGTACCATGCTTATAAAACACGCAGTACCATTTTTGGTTGGTTGGTTTGGTCGGCCATGACCTTTTATAGAAGGGTTGGACCCGACGTCATTTTTCTTTGTCTGCGGGCCCCAACCTCTTTGACTACAAAATGACCGGCTGCAACCCCTACGAGCTCCCAGTTTTTTGTCCATAGACTGGCGCGTAAAACTTATATAGAATTGATTTTCGACACAGGTCAGCCAAACATTTTGTAAGAAACGCGCCCTTGTAGCCATGCTTTTCGTAACAAATGAGGTTGGGGCCCCGCAGGTTTTGTATATAGAATGGTTGGCCCCGACGTCGCCCATGAATTCTTGACGTCGATCCAAAAGCTGAAAAGACCAGCTAGATGAAAGCTCGGTGGAATGGCGGTTTGCCAACGTAATTCACAAGTGGGTGGAATCGAGTAGACCGACGACGTCGAAGTGATGTCTCCTTGTGTGGCGCGCGAACCACCCATGTCGAAAAGGCAGGGTGACGTTTCACACGCTCACCAAGGCTAAAGCTTTTGAGGTAAAACCGGCACGCTCGCGCGCACTTGTGGATGTTTTCACAAATCCACCCCGTTGAGCAAAGGCTTGCGCGCGGATGAACCTTTTGAGTTTTGGGTCACAGCCGAGGGCAGTAAAGGTGGAGCAGAAGCGAAAGAAGGAACGACGCCTTGCGGTCTTGTTCTTTCAGGCTGGTGGACTGAGCCTGCCAGGTCAAAGCGAGGGCAAAAGCTGCAAAGCAGAAACGCGGCGATGCTCAGGGGCTACAGGTTTGAGTTGGATTCTTTCCATATTATCATTGCACGCTCTTGTTTCTACACGTTTCTATTGTTTGCGCGCCGCCGCCTCCTCCTCACCCCACCTTTTTCCTTCCTCCAAACTTCATAGTTCCACCAAATGTTGACGCGCCGGTCAGTTTGGTCTGATGAAGACTCAACCGAAACTCTACAAACCGGTGGAGTTTTCGGATGTGGCAAACTGTTTTTCGTAGAGTGACAGGATCTAGACACTGGCAGTGCGGTTTCTGACCAGCAGTTCGACCCGAAGCAAGACAAAGGTGTCTATCTGCGTGAAACGAATTCCCACCGAATTTCAAGACGTCTCCCGAAATAAACAACAGCGACGAGTGTTTTCCTGAACTGAAAGCACCCATCCAGAAGGCTGCAGGCACTCGGTTGGGAGATACAAGCCTGAACTTTGGGACAGTCACCCCTGATCTTTTTGGCCTTTGTCCACCGCGCGCGCGAGAGAGAGAGAGAAAGAGAGAGAGCGCGAGCGCGAGAGAGAGAGAGAGAGGGAGTGAGAGAGAGAGAGAGAGAGAGAGGGAGAGAGACAGGAGAGAGGAGAGAGGAGAGAGGAGAGAGAGGAGAGAGAGGAGAGAGGAGAGAGAGGAGAGAGGAGAGAGGAGAGAGAGGAGAGAGAGGAGAGGAGAGGAGAAGAGAGGAGGGGAGAGAGGAGAGGAGAGAGGAGAGAGAGGAGAGAGAGAGAGAGGATTTTCATTCGGTTCCCTGTTGATTTGAAGGACAGGTGCAATCAGGGAAGCAGGCCATGCTTGAACATGCACTTGGCGCAAAAGTTATGTGTGCAGTTCGAATGTGTTGCTTTGGACTGAAGCTGCCATCGAATGACATGATAAGATTCCGGGCGCCAACGGCCCCCGAACCCTGAAGAATAGGTTTGAAAGAGAAAAATCGCAGTGTTGAAATGCGCTTCCGGAGCGCCGCGCGCAGTGCTTTCGATCGCTTCCTTCGGTTCGTGCATTTCGTAGCGTCAGGGACGCTTGTCGGCTAGAGTTGGGCAAAAAACTGCCCCAGGGTTGGATGATTCGGCTTTCGCCCTTGCCAGTGTTTTTAGCCCGACTATTTTTCTGGCTGACAAATCTCCTTCCTCTTCATTCTAGCGGGAAAGTGACCTTGAAATGTTGCGCCTGCTCAGCTTCGATGATTTTCGCACACGTGCTGGCGTCTTTCAGCACGTCGTTTTTTGGCTTTGGATTCTGTGTGGAGTTTAGGCCACTTGCTCGGCCGTTGAAGTGCATACCTTGCAGACCATGTCCCCCTATGTCCCATCTACAATCTAGAACGTGGGTTCAACCGGCGTGTGGAAGAAGGCAAGTAGAGCGCCACAAGTTTCAACCCTCAACGAAAGCCGGCCAACTTCCCAGAGAAGTGTCGCTGGCGCCTCCAGGCACGTTCAGCGATGGACCCACGGAGCCAAGCGCAGTAGCTGGACCTTTTTAGTAGTTACACACTGGCCGCTTTTAAAACCGTGAATAAACGATTGATCCGAATCCTTCACAGCCTCAGCCTCTTCGCCGTCTGCGTTGACATCATCGGGCTCGTTTGCCACTGGTCGTCGTCAGATGCAGACCCGGTGGCTGCCTTGAATGATTAGTGGGAAGTTGCGTACAAAGGGCACGCCCAGGGTGTAGAGATAGATACCCATAAAGTCTCCTAATCTCAACAGTGTGAAGTTCATCTCATCTCTGCAGCTGCCCTTCATCTCGAGCACCTTGCATCTCCGCTCTTGTCTCTCGGCGGCTTGCGTCGGGGATACCTTTTGCATGGGTGGCCCATTGCAGACAGATAGCAACGTTACTTGCGTGCTAGTAGCGATGCCCTTGTTACTATAGTAGCTATGCGCTTGTTGCTAGTAGCGATGCGCTTGCTGCTAGTAGCGACGCACTTGCTGCTAGTAGCAACGCCCTTGGTATTAGTAGCTTTACGCTTGTTTGTAGTCGCGATGCGCTTGTTAAGCAGAGATGCACTGCTACTAGTAGCGATGCATTTGCTACTAGTAGCGACGCGCTTGTTACTAGCAGCGATGCACTTGTTACTATGCGCTTGTTACTAGTAGCTATATGCTTGTTACTAGTCGCGGTGCACTTGCTACTAATAGCGATGCACTTGCTAGTAGTAGCAATGCACTTGTTACTAGTAGCGATGCACTTGTTACTAGTAGCGGTGCTCTTTACTAGTAGGGATGCTTGTTATACAGGTAGCCATGCACTGGTTTCTAGTAGTGATGCACTTGTTACTAGTAGCGACGCGCTTGTTATAGTAGAGATGCACTGGTTACTAGTAGGGATGCACTTGTTACTCATAGCGATGCATTTTTCTTAGTAGCGATGCACTTGTTACTAGTAGCGATGCACTTGTTACTAGAAGTGATGCACTTGTTTCTAATAGGCACTTGTTGCTGGTAGCGATGCACTTGTTACTAGGTATTTGTTTCTAGTAGCGACGCAGGAGATGCATTTGCACTTTTCAAAGTTGCGATTTGGGCATTCGCATTGCAAACGCGCATTTGTCCTGCAAATTCCTCCCCCTCTCCCCATCAGACCCAACTTCTGAAAGCATTTGTGGGCCCTTGACTTCTTTAGTGTTTTTCGGTGCAACAAGATTTTCCAAACTTAAAACCTGATTGCTTCCGGCGGGGGCGCCTCTGAATGAAAACAGCACGCACGCGCGCGCAAACTCTTGCAGATGCATTTCTCTTTGAAGCGAACACACATCCAATAGATCATCGAGTTTCTGATTGAAGCCCGACAGCCACCGCCGAATGAATTGTATTCTCCACCAACTGACAGCTCAAAAACAAGCAAAAACCTATGAAAAACACAAAGACATATTTTCACGGGTTTAATGGGCATTTGCTGTACAAATTGAGTTTTTGCAGTAGAAAAGCACGCGTTTTCACGGGCGCCCGTTCGCGACGGAATCTGTGAAACGGCTGCGAGCATCACCATGGCGATTGTGTGCGTGGGAAATGTCATTGATGCGCGCGGCTCATGAGTGAGCAAGGCTGACCATGGTTCATCGGTTATGAGCAAGCAAGAATCATTAATTACTTAAGCCATGCGCGCGCAAACCCCATCGTGCGAGTCAAAGCGACCGGCCCACGAAATCCCAAAGCAATTGCTTTGTAACCGCGAATCTGCGCCCCGTGCGCGCACACGCAACAAACCTGCCGACCAACGAAAAACTGTCGTCGCTACCTTTACATGTACGTATGGTCTTGTTCTTTGCACAATTGCAGTCGAAATCCAACATTTGCGGTACACTATAAACGTGCATTGCCACTTACCGCTACTTTTTAGTCGAAACGCATCTCCAGGTTGTTACTAGTAGTGATGCACTTGTTACTAGTAGCGGTGCGCTTGTTACCAGTAGCGGTGCGCTTGCTTCCAGTAGCGATGCACTTGTTACCAGTGGTGATGCACTTGTTACTATGTTCAGATGCTGTTTGCCAAGCTCGAAGGTCTCGCCCAATTCGCAAGTGACCGCTCTGCTCGCTGCCAGGCTGGCAGCACTAGCTAACGCCAAAGGAGTTGACTTTGGAATCTCAAAGTCTCTAGCGGTCAACGCCAGGATGTAGAAAACGAAGATGAAGAAATCACAATGGCCGTAGATTCAGAATCCAGGCGATGAAATTTCAACAGGCGCCGTGGACAGAACGATTGAATTGTCGTCAGGAATTCTGGTGAGAAGCTTGTGTCCTTTTTGGAGAGAGCGAAGAGTGAGAAGAAGGCGGAATGGTTCAGAGGAGCTGAAAGATGTTTGATTTGAATGTCAACAGTCAGAAACTGAAGCAATCTTTGAATTGTAGTTTTAATTATGGCAATCTTTAAATTGATATTGAAGTAGTTTTTCGCGATCAGGCCACGGAAGCAGTGAAGAACATCGTCCGAGATAGCCGAGGTCCTCTCAACTGGTTTTTGTTGTCAATTTTTCAGCCCGATGGAATGCCCGTTGCTTTTTCATGTTGTGAGGCCAAAGGCCAGAAGTTTTGGGTGTCGCGCTGGGGCACTTGGCTGGTCGCGGTCTCGCGCAGTGTGTCGGGCTCCAAGCGTCCGAAAGACGTTGATGAGGACGCCCAATACAAACACCAACCCCCAACTGAGTGGGTAAATGGACCCATCAAAGCCGAACCAAACAAGTGCAGACAACGAATTCTTTACATCGAACCAACCCCACCGGGCCACTTTGCCTCCCCAATGGTTGATGTTGCCATTTTTGCTTTGTGGTCTTGTGGCTGCTGTTGGTGTTATGATTGTTGTTTGTCATTGGCTGGGGGGCCCTGGTGGAATACTGGGTTTCTTGAGGTCAAGATTTTGATCGAGAACGGTGCGCTGCTGAACATACAGGAGCTGATTTCCTTTCAAAGTTCTAATTCCACAAACTGGATCTAGAAGCAGGGTTGAAACCAGTCAGGCAGTTCCTTCCGATTTGGAGCAACATATTACTCTATTGCTTTCTTTGGCGCACTCTGTGTTGAAGACCGGCTTTTCAGTGGCAAGCGGCCCGCTGTATTCAACACAGGTTCAGCCAAGTCATGCGGTTGCATGCAGTTTGTCAGCAGGACCCTCACAAGGCGGCTGGTAGGCAGGGCGTTTAGGATTTCACGCTCCAAGAGATGAGTTATGTCTTTTCAAGGTGAATTCGATTTGACTTTTAATGCTCAACCCCCTCTTGTTTCCACCGCTCCATGAACCGTGTTGCACTCCCGCTGGCATTGACAGTGGGCACTGAAGCCTTCTACACTCAGCTCGACGGTGCAAGGCGACCGCCCCCGCAACTGATTTACCAACCACCTGCACGCGACGCGTTGTGGAATCCAGAAGCAGTGGAGGTCATTCGTTTGAGTCGCACAACATTTTTGGCTGGGGCTACCGTCAACACAGCTGGGCTGGCCACGAGTGGTTCTACACCCCCACATCCAGCAGCGCTGGGCATGGGAGACGGGTCAAGCATAGCTGCTATGGACTTCAAGGCATTGGTGCGGGCTGTGCTGCAGCTCCAAGCAATGGCAGTGATCTCAGACTCAGAGAAGAAGAGAGAAGGATCGCAGAGACCGGGACAAGAAGAAGAAAAGCAAGAGTTCGAAGAAGAAGAAGAAGCAGAAGAAGAAGAAGAAGAAGAAGCGGCCATACCGTTCGTCGAAGCACCAGTACCAGTAGTTCTGGAAGCCGGTCATCCTCAGACTCGAGCAGATCATCCATTTGCAAGCAGGTGTTTGCGCGGAAGGAGGATGGAAAAGACAAGAAAATGTGGACTCCCTTTGCTTGAAGAAGAAAAAGAAGAAGAGAAGGGAGACCTTTTATCCTTCGCCAACACCCCGGCGCTCTCACGGTTCACTTCCTCGCGGGAGTGTGCGCCAGACTGTCCAAGGGACGGTCAACCGGACTGGTTGAGGCAGACGTCGGTGGCGGCTTGGGCACAGCAGCATATACAGTGTTGACGGAGTCAAGGGACTTGAAAGAAGTGCTGACGTTGGCAGAGATTTTGGATCTTGTCAACAGGCGCGAGGTGTCAACGCCCTGGACGTTCTGGCGCAGAGGGCAATTGCGATGCAGGCTGCCAAAGGCCAAGGGCAGAACATGGGAGAAGGAGCCTGGAGCTGCGGGTTCATCAGGATGAGGGTTTCTCGATTGTTTACCTTCGCTTTTGAGCAAGCGCTGGGCTTTGTTACAGGATGCCAGCTAGTTGCGCGAGCGAAACCAACAAGCCTTTGAGAGGCAAGCGTGGCTGTTCCGAGGACTATGTTTTTCCTTTGAGACCTTTTAGCATGAGTGCCATTGTCCTTGCTCGTCAGCGAGCTAGGACGTGAAACCCGATTTTTTTTGAGGGAGGCAATCTGGTCGCGCGCAGCCAGCCGAGACTGCGCATTAATACAGCGTGGAGGGTTTTGGGCGTTGGGGCTAGTTGCCCCGAAGGCGTGCCGCGATTGTCTTGTGTTTGTTTTGAAGCTCCCAGTTTGTGTTGATGAGATGTGGCGACTCAAAACAATGGCATAGTGTTGTGCCCGGGTCGGACCAAAGCCGGCGTTGAACGGAAAGTTGCTTCAAGCAATGCTTCAGTGGTTCGTTGGGCCGCAGCTTTTTTAAAACCTTTCCCTCCAACACACTTGGCTCAGTCGCTCTTCCCCATTTCATACAAATCAGTATTTCGATGGGTCAAAAATTTGTGAATCTTGTTACATCCAGATTCTTTGCGTGATTACACATACCTGCCAGAGGTCTGGTGCGTCGGAGTTGGCTAGACAAGGGATGACGCTCAGTGATATTTATTATATATTGCAGTACGGGCGCTGGTCGAGCGAGTGATCGGCGAAGGAATAAACAAAGGGTGAAGTGGCTGTGTTGCGGGCGCGCTGTATGTTCAGCGCTTCTGACTGGTATAGAATTGTCGCGTGGGCTTCTCTCCATTCCCAGGCATGGACATCGTTGGACAAAACAGGGCTGGGAAAGACATCGTCTCTCCAAATGACAATGGTTACACCGGAAAGGGCGCGACTTTTAGAAGGGGCATTGTTTGGGTTTTTTCCTCAACCAGTGTGGACACACTAGGGGTTCTTACGGCAGTAGTTAAGCGCGCGTGTGCGGCTAATTCGCTGCTATTTACAGTACCTTCATGCCTCTCCAAGGGTTCGGTGCGGTTTAACGTCGAAACGCAGATTTCGCGGCAGGCGCAGCACTTTGGACATGGTGGTGATCTTCGTTTTTCCGACAGGTGCAGTGAATCCTGACTTTTGGACATGTGGCTCGTTTGCAGATTTCGTGGCAGGCGCGATACTTATTGAACCTCGAAGTGCAGATTTCGTGGCAGGCGCAGCGCTTTGTGAACCTCAGCGTGCAGAATTCGTGGCAGGCGCAGCGCTTTGTGAACCTCGAAGTGATGATTTCGTGGCAGGCGCAGTAGTAGTAGTAGTAGTAGTAGTAGTAGTAGTAGTAGTAGTACTAGTAGTAGTAGTGGTGGTGGTAGTAGTAGTGGTGGTAGTAGTAGTAGTAGTGGTAGTAGTAGTAGTAGTGGTAGTAGTAGTAGTAGTTGTAGTAGTAGTAGTAGTCGTAGTCGTGGTAGTAGTAGTAGTAGTAGTAGTAGTAGTCGTAGTAGTAGTAGTAGTAATAGTAGTAGTAGTAGTAGTGGTAGTAGTAGTGGTAGTGGTAGTAGTGGTAGTAGTAGTAGTAGCAGTAGTAGTCGTAGTAGTGGTAGTGGTAGTAGTGGTAGTGGTAGTGGTAGTGGTGGTCGTGGTAGCGGTAGCGGTAGCGGTAGCGGTAGTGGTAGTAGTAGTAGTAGTAGTAGTAGTAGTAGTAGTAGTAGTGGTAGTGGTAGTGGTAGTGGTAGTGGTAGTGGTAGTGGTAGTAGTTGTAGTAGTACTAGTAGTAGTAGTAGTAGTAGTAGCAGTGGTAGTAGTAGTAGTAGTAGTAGTAGCAGTAGCAGTAGCAGTAGCAGAGGTAGATGTAGTGGTAGTGGTGGTTGTAGTGCTGGTGGTAGCGCAACTAGTGGTTGGTAGCAGTACCCCTACAAGGGTGTCCAACAAGGGTGTCCCACAAGAGAGTAACGCACCTGAGTTCAGAAGATTTTTCCGCAATAATGCCCCTCAAGAGTGTTCCATGACAAGAATGTCGGGCGAGAATGCTTAGAACAATTTCCCACAAGAGTGTCTTGCAAGAGTGTTCTAGCAGAGTGGTCCCACAAGAGCGTCTTAGAAGTGTCCTACAAGAATGTCGCGCAAGAGATCGCAAGAGACTTACAAGAGGTTACGCACAAGAGTCCCGCAAGCGTTACACACAAGAGCGCCCCACAAGAGCGTCTCGCAAGTGTGTCCCGCAAGGGTGTTCTACCAGAACGTCCCACAAGAGTGGCCGACAAGAGTGTCCCACAAGAGTGTGTCCCACAAAAGTGTCCTACTAAAGTGTTCCACAAGAGTGTCTCGCAAAAGTGTCCCACACGAATATCCGACAGAGTGTCTTACAGGAATGTCTCACACGAGTGTCCTACAAGAGTGTCCTGCAAGCGTGCACCGCAAGAGTGTTACGCAAGAGTGTCCCACCGCCAGAGTGTTGTGCGTGATTGTCACAGGAGTGTCCCACGAGAGTGTTCGACAAGAGTCCCCACGAAAAGTGTCCCACAAGATTGGTTTCGGTGGAAACTGCGTTTGCGCGAGTCCGTGCTGTTGCAAAGCGTGCACGCGCTAGATTTCATAATCCGATCGCTCCTTTCGCTTATATCTCACATTCGGGTTCGTGGGGCACCAGGATTGAGGTAGCCGGTGGCCCACTCGATTTTGCGACCTCTCCTGCAGGGCATCTGACAACCAACACCGCCAACAGCAAACCACTGACAACGCACAATCAGACAACCCGACGAGAAAGACGAAACAATGAAGAAAACAACATGTGATGGCCACACCAACCAACTGCGCCAGACAACCGCCAGCGCACCTGGGCGGGTGGGCGTTGGACAATTTTTCGTGCAGAAGGGGTGATGCGGTTCTCTGAGGGGGTTTTGCTGAAAGGGTCGATGTCCTTGTTACTAGTAGCTTCTTGTTACTAGTAGCAAGGCACCTTACTAGTAGTAACAAACTACTAGTAGTAAGGCGCCTAGCTACTAGTAGTTTCTTTTTATTAGTAGCGATGCACTTGCTACTAGGTTTGCCAAACCCATCGCCAATTTACAGACCCGTTTGTTAGTTTTAAGTCTGACGCGACAGAGTGCCGGAAAGATGCGACACATAGACAGACATGTCGCGTGTCTGACAGATTCAAGCCATTCACAACCAGGTCCACACCATTGCAATTGGCCGCAAGCAGGGGTCATGTGCTCCACTGAGCGTAAAACGTGTTTTGTGCATATTCATCCTTTCTTGTTTTCTTGGCAACGTCACATCAGCCCTTCAATTTTGATTGCTCTCGTTTGTACTGCCTTTTGAGGTGCACACAGTTCGCTTCCTTGTCGAAGCTGGTGCAGACAAGGCCAACTGTGTGATTGTAACCCTCACATCAAGTTCAAGGTATGTCTGCCATTGCAGGCAGGCGCAGTGGAAGCTGCCCGAGATCTTAACAACTTTGGAACCGTCTTCGCCGAGGAGAGGAGCGTTGATCAATTCCTCGTCTATTGTGTTTAGGCGTTTGAGTTTGTTGAAACTGGTAGAATGTACTTTTCTGCTCGTGGCTGTTTGCACGCTTCTTGCAAAGTCAGCAGCGTCTATCGCTTTCTAAATGCATCTGCGTAGTCGTTCTTGGGGGTTCCGAGGAGAGGAAAGCCATCCTTGCCATTCTGAGCAGATGAACACAGAGTGAAAAAATGAAAACCTTGTCTACGGAGTTCTGAGATGTAGGCCACGCCAACTTCCTGCAGCGAATTGACAGCCTTTGAAGTCTCAACTTTGATAGCAATAGCAACAGCACGAGAGTATATTGCTCGTACAGGAACCGCCATTGAGCCTAGATCATTCATAGAGACCAAACAGTCAAGTCTCAGGTACACTGGAAACTCTCGAAAGACTGTGCAGCAGACCGCGCACAATTTCCAGTTTTTTCAAGCAGAGACTATAGGCTAACAAAAACAACAACCAGAGATTTGATGTGCCCAACGTGCCCAAAGATGGCATGGATGTATTGCAGAATTGCCAGAAACGTCAGGACGTGTCCACTTGTTCTGCCTGGTTGTTTTGCATTCCAGTGGTGGACCACCAATTGAATTGTGTCAGGAGGGGATGCTACAGCGAAAGACGTCCTGCCAGTAGTAAATGTTTCTCTTGCTTTGTTTTTTGTTTGTAGGTTGGAGATGATTGGAGGCCATGGCTATGAGGCTGGAGGCCATCACTACTAGGTTGGAGGCCATCTCTATTAATTAGGTTGGAGGCCATTGCTATTAGGTTGGAGGCCATCGCTATTAAGGGCCATCGCTATTAGCTTATTGGAAGGCAGCGCTAAGAGGTTATTGGAGGCCATCACAATTAGGTTATTGGAGGCCATCGGTAATAGGCCATTGGAGGCCATCGGTATTATATAGGTTATTGGCCTCATCGCTATTGGGATATTGGCCACATCACTAATAGGTTAGGTTATTGGCCACATCGCCATTAGGTTGGAGGCCACATCGCTATTAGGTTGGAGGCCACATCGCTA